CTGAAGCTGATGGAGCAGATGTGCAACAACCTACAGGCGCTGAAGCTGCAGGACCCGGTAATAAAATTGTTGCACACCTGTGCTTTGCCTAAGAAGGAGATGGGTCTACCCAGTTTATTACGTTGACCACCTGCTTGTTTAATGTGAGGGGTGAAAGTGGGTTGAGGGGTGGGAGTGGAGGTGGATGGATCAGCTTCCGAGGGGCACAAATCCGCCATATGGGATGTAGAATTACATACAGCACAAGATGGGGGGCCTCAGACCAGCGAAGTGGCGACAGAATAATTCAGTATCCATCTGACACCAGTTAATTCTAATATGAAACTGCTTCAGATGGGTCGCCGCCTTCGCTGATACCGATCTATGGTAGTCATAAAAAGATGAGCCCCCGTACTTGATGCCCAAATCCACCACTTTATGAAGATAGAGGTCTAGTTCCTCTCTCCTGTGGGGATATACCGAACAAATGACGTTGCGGTGTATCCCGAAGGCTATTACAAACTGCGGAATGGATTATTTTTTATTAAGCCTAGGATCTCTGGTTTTAAGCACCACTGAGATATCCCCGTAGTTATAAACTCGGTTCTCCAGCACATCTTGAGATGCTATAAGTAGTGACACCAGACACACATCCTTCCCGTCTAGAATTTCGTTCCTAATGGAGTCTGGGACAGAGTGAGCTGGTGACACAAAAGGTGACGTAACTGTGGCCGGTGCTGGACGTGGATGTATAGGGGAGCGTGGTGGTGTAACAGAGACTGCCAGGGTGGGGGCTGAGAGGCCAGGGAGGTTACCTGGGGAGGCTATGGCACTCTCCACCTTAGAGAACCTGCTGTTCAGGGTTTGCAGGTTGGCCAGGATTGCTGCAAGGGTGTCCTGAGTGGCCGTGCAAGCGCCTGATGGCTGTCTTTGAGAGCCAGTGTCTGGCCTAGGCTCGGGTCCTGATTGGTCAGAAGTCTAGAGTTCCGCCTTTCTAGCTGTAGCCGGAAAGGGGATGCCCCTGAGCCTAAGTTCGGCCATAATTTTTGGGATAGTCCATGCTCTTAAGGATGTAGGTGTAGAGGGGGTGAGAGATTTGCCTGGAGACTCGGGTTTGATGGGAGTGAATGGAATCTCTTCAGCAGACAACTCGTCGATGGGAGCTGGTTCTTGAGACATTCTAGAAATGAATTAGTGAATTAGATTTAGTAGGGGCGTAGGAGAGAACAGAGGGGGTATGACGGGGGGGGGGGGAGTTCCTTAGGTGAACTGGACTGTAAGACTAGTGCCGAAGTGAAAAACTTAACTGTAAACTAGTGACAGATGAGGCCCTGCTAGTGTTGAGTGGCGGTGAGAGGCTCTAGCTATGATTTGGCCGAGGGAAGTTTGTTGCCACAGACGTGGTGGCGGGATGTTGGCCTCTCGATGACTGTTAAGAGATTTAAAAATGTGTGGCCGTGAAAAGTGAGGCCCTGACTGCGGCCCTGTAGAAGGGCAAACAAGGCATCTAACTATGATTTGGGTGTGGGGCCGTACCTCCGTGTTGAGGTGGGAGATGGCCTCGCGGGACCGGGATGTACTTGGGTGAGCTAGGGCCAGAGCCTAGACCCTGGAAGCCAGTTCACACACCTTCTATGGGTTAAATGGCAATTATGGGTGTAATGAGTGGATACTAACCTTGATAGTGGTTATAACCGGTAACTTGAAACTTCGAGTGTTTTAAATAGAGTTGCTTGGCCGCTGCTGGTATCGTAGAAGAAGCCTAAGGGCTAAGACAGATGTTGATGTGTTAGAGCATAACGTAGTGGTGAATGCTTGGTAGTAAGGGGTGGCTATAGGAGCGCAACGTGAGATCCTGAGGTGAGGAATATGAATGATTAGTCTGAGACTGGGACGTGTTTATGCTATAGAGGGAGGCTGATTGAGGCCTTAGGGGTAGCAAGTGCTAGTAACGAGTAAGAACGCAAATACCTGGTAATGGAGCGGGGTACCAGGTTAATAGGTTGAGTAGGTTCTTGCCCGATGGCAGTATGAACATAGGCCTAAGTAAAAATGTAGAGAATTTAAACACAAAAAGGACATAGGACTGTGTGATAATCGTGATAAGTAGGGACCGCTTCAGGTCTAGTGTGACAGCCCCGTAATGAGTAGAGTACTATACCTTGATTTGTTGTACAGGTACTTGGATAAGCGTAAGCAGAGGAGGCCTAGAATAATGTTGGAGCTAGGGATTAAAGCCATCGTACAATTATTAAAATAGAAGGGTTATAACAGTATATCTTAATTAACAAATTCCCCCAGAGCACCGTGTTAACTGGACATAAATGATATGAGAGTAGAGGGGCTGTACGTTACTGACAAGTTTAGAGTGAAGGCTGCCTGAGGCCTTGACATGATTGAAACTGAAGTGAGTAAATGCTATACCTGGATTGAAAATACAAGAACTTGGATTTGACAACTTTATGCAGTAATGCAAAGACAAACGGGCAATATGTGGAGACCAAAGAAATGTAATAGAGCTAAGATTAATGTCTGCATAAGCTATAGAGAAATAGAGAATAATATGAAATGTAGGGTTTTGGAAATTCCCCCAGAGGACCGTGCTACATAATATATATGTTCTGTGATGGCGTACGGGGTTGAAAAACTCTGCCAAAGTAGTTGGGTGTCAGAAGAATCTATTAAGTATTTAACACAACTTAAAACACAGAGGGTTAACTCAAAAAAGGCCTTGGAATAAATAACCGAGTTCTGAGAAAATGTCATACATCTAAAGATCTTATATTTTAAAACATAATTAAACCAAGAACCACAGACGTAGTAGTAAATGGTTGCAGTAATAAACCGAATTTTTAACTAATTTTCGACAGATTTAATACCGGCACCTATTTTTATTTTTATTTTTTTATGAAATTTCCACCAGAGTTTACCCGAACAAGGGTCGGTAGTTTAGACCGCACGAAACCTAAGTATAGCCAGTGTTCGACTAATTTAGTCGCACGAACTGCAGAAGTTGCCGAATGCTATTTCCCTCACAAGCGTACGTGAGCGTGCCGGTCTCGTGACCGAAAGCCGGATACCGCAACCGGGGATAAGCCGGGTGGCAGGGCTGCAGAACGAACGGATGGAGGATTCAGCTGGACACCTCTACTGCTGGAGACTGGAGCTGTTTGGCGGGAATCTCGGACCGGAAGTGCTGCTATGGAGATAGACAGCTGACAATCAACTTGAAAGGCAGAGGTGAGTAGGGGCTGGGAGTTTAAGTAGAGGACTTACTCCTCCCACAAATTCAGGACTAATGGCCTTTCTACATATAATATATATATATATATATATATATATATATATACACACTCTGAGCCATTTCACTGTTCTATGTCTCACTATTCTCTATACACTGGTTTTCACTATTTTCTCTGAATGTGTGTTATTTCTGAGTGTTTCCCCACAAGTCTATTACCCTAGTCCCCTTTTGGGTTGCCTGTACAAATTGTGATTTCCTCCATGTTAGATTTCTTGGATTGTATCGAACCTATGCCTTTTCCTTTTATTATTCACAATCCTCTGACACAAAGGTTTGTTGTGTAATCTCCTAGCAACCATGTTGAGTCAGGTGATCACGTCACATGGGATTCAGTTTACTTCCAGGTGTAATCAGTCCTCAAGTTATCTTCACATGCTATTGGTAAGTTTTTTTGGTTTATTTCTTATATAATGACACATTTACACGTTATCTGATCTTGAAAAAGACCCTTAAAGGGTCGAAACTTTGATTATTTTGTACACAGAAATGATGAATTATTGATAGATTTTTTTCAATAAATACACCAGTCACCTTTAACCTAACACCTGCGAGTGCATCTATTTTTTATCTATTTTTCCTTTTATGCATATTTCAACGCGGGATATTTGCACCCAGGCAAGCAGTACTATATATCAATATGTTGGTGGAGTGCCAGCAGACTTCTATTGGACACACGCACATATATATAAATAAATACACAGTGCTGTGCAAAAGTCTTAGGCCACTATTAGATTTGTTGTTTTAGCAATGGTATAATGACCATATATAATTATTTATCAGTCTCTTTATTAGAATACAACCAGAAAATAAAGGAAATCTGTATGCAGTATGTATGCAAGGCCACTCTTAAAGGGAAATCTGCAAACTGGATACTCAATATGTGGTATTCAAGCTGTTGTAAAGACATTAGAAGAATCAGGAGAGGTCATGGACAAAAAAGGACTGGAAGGCCAAGAAAACTTTCAAAATCCGATGAGAAGTGTCTCAGAGTTTCTTCTTTGAGAAACCAGAAGAAGTCCAGGAAGGACCTGGCTCAGCATCTGGTAGCTTCATCGGATCATCGGACAGTCTCATGATGTTTGATTGTCTTTGTGGAAGACAAATGCATTTTAGACAATTGGGTGCATCCAACTTTGTGGCAATAGTTTTGAAAAGGTCCTTTCCTGATTCAGAATGGCTGTGCCCCAGTGCACAAAGTGAAGTATGCAAAGATACGGTTGAACAAGTTTGGTGTGGAGGAACTCCAGTGGCCTGGACAGAGTCCTCACTTCAACTTCACTTGGGATGACCAGGGACATCAATTGCGAGCCAAATTCCCAAAGACACAATCCTAAATCTTGAGGAAAGCCTTCCCAGTGGAGTGGCATCAGCAGAAACATACATCAGCATCAGGAGAGGGAGTCAATTATTTAATTCAGAATAGCAGCAGCTGCGTAGGAGTCTGATTAAGTGACATTTATGGGCTAATGCATCATTCTTGGCTTTAATACGTGGTGTGACGTTTCCATGAAAAAATATTTTTTGTTACATTGTAAAATTTAAAATCTGCGTTTTAAATATACCTTGTAGTGACTACACCCCAAGTACAACAGTGGTCCCATATCAGTAGTGTACCCCTATATCCATACCTGCTGGAAGGTATGGTGAGCATTGGGGAATTAAAAAAAATTCTAGTCTAACAGAGTGTAAGAATTTTCCAATTATGGCTAGAATTTTTGACATTATTAATGTTTTCTCATTCCCATTTTATTGTTAAACTTTAATGAACTAACCGTTACTGATATTTCAGAGTAACAGAACATATTAATGGCCTACAGCTGTATTTAATAGTGAGCAAAAAGTAAATTAAAGATGTGTCATCCTTTACATTATGTAGCTTTTATGTAAAATAACCTCCTTTAGGTGAGAGACATTGTTTTTGTCTATCCCAACTCCCTCATTCTGCTCTATATTCAGACATTGTGTGGTTTTGTCATTTGTTACCTCTTTCAGCTATTGTGTAAGTCTTTTCCCTTTGGGCTGCTGCTTTCTCTGCTCAATGTCCCAATGGAAAACATATTAAAAATGCATTACATTTACTTAGAATGCAAACAAAGGATACCTTCTGTCTACTAAATGTACAAATGGGCTGCGTCTCTACTTGTTCTCTCCCCATGATAAGCTAATTCCCATTTGGGCCAAATACGAGGCCGTTGGGGTCTATGTGGAATTTGGTACACTGAACTGCATAATAAGAATGACCACAAGGGAAATGTGACCTTTAAAGAGCAGATATACAATTTAATATCTTTCAGCTGTTCTTATTTAGCAAAGATTGCACCTGCTTTATGTTCTATATCATTAACGAACAGGTGCTTATAATACAATGTATGTTTTCTTTTTAATAAATAGAATAAGGGAATTCCACTTTCTTATGTCAGCTGTTAAAACAATATGTGAAAAATGCACAGTGCATGCAGAGAATTGATGCAACCAGACTCTAGATGCACTTCTTGTACCATACAAAGTGCTAACAGAAAGTCCTGTAATGTGTAATACTGTGCTAAGCACTGCACTCTAGACACATTTGTTTGGCCGTTATAGTACAGCGCTACGGAATCTGATGGCGCTATATAAATATTAAAATAATAATAAAATTATATTGATGCAGGATACTATTTAGGGAACGTTCTATGGTTTCTGGTGGAAGGAGATTTAAACAGCATCACTATAACACATAAAAGAGCTCTTGGTCTCATTTGCTCACGACAAGTCGACACCTGATGTTACAGGAAACAAAATATTGACCACATTGTTACTAGTTAATTACTGTAAGTTCTTATGATAAAGGAACACTCCAGACCGTTTTAGTACTTAAGTTTCTTGAAGAATTTTAAGGGTAATAGCTCTGTCTTCGCTTACTTTATAAAACTTCCAATTTCAACAGAAATCTGAATTTTTATGGAACACCTTAATAACACACCCAGGCTGTTAAGCAGATGTGTTGGGTTTCTTAATAAGGTGCATGTCATGTGACACAAGTCACCAATATTGATGGCTTCATGGAAGGAGGATCAGAGCTCCAGTGAGAAACGAATGGAAATGAATTTAAGTCTAATCCGAGTTTTATTTGTTGTTTTTTTTTAATGCTAAAATTGCAGTGTTCCTGTACTAAATAAAAAAACAAATAGACTGTAATACCAGATTCATTACTTGTGTTAGAGAAAGATCCCCCTCTATATCTATTGGCAGCAAACAGCTGCCCTGATATGTAAATATTGGAGTGAAAAAGGGAATAGCATGTCGTGTTTGGGGTGTAAGGTGTGAGCCCTCTCCATGTCACATGCCATGTGTCAATATGGTGGCCAGCTGTCCTTTATTGTCCAAGACTGCCTCTAAATTGTAATCAATGTGGCATTTCAGTGTCAGACCCTTTATAGGACAATTATTAAGTCCTGGAATAAATTATTCTGGCTGAAGAGCACATATTGTGGCATGAGCACAAATGACTTCAAGGCCCTTCTGGGTGTGCTTTATCTTGACTCAGGATACTCTCAGATTAATAAGGAATATTACAAGTTGACAATAAAGAGAAATGGTCTGCACTTGTGCAAGGTAGCATGTATTGCAGCAATGCAGCAAACAATATGAACAATATCAAAATAGCTCGTAATATTTTGAGAGAATGAAATATTTTTTTTCAAAAGTTCCCTGATTGTCATTTCTTGTGTGAGGAGTTATGATGTGGGATGTTGTTTGTGTAGTTTTTTCAGTCTTTTAATTTTGGCTATGGTATCTGTGTCTGCTTCATTGGTTTTTTTTTTTTACAGAGATGGTCAAACTTATTAATTTACCATTGATGTGGTACTATGTGCTGCCCATAATGTTATTGGTGATGTAACAGATGGTGCATTAGTGGCAAAGTATTTTAGAAACTGCTTATATAATTTTTTTGATATGTAATAATAGTGGATTACGTTTCCATGTCCATGGGCGAACTAACGTCGATATTGATATATCTGCATGATCAGACCAAGTGATGTTATAGGTGTTGTGCATTCAAATGTCTGTTAGACTGCAAGTAATAAGAAGCCGGGACAATATGATACTCCTAGATGGTCATAATTGTCTGTCATCCTGTACCACAGCATTTCAGTCGCCCCTCCTCCCCCCCCCAAAAAATCACAAATGTAATTGGGTGATTTTTATAGATAAAGGTGTCTTACTTAGGCATTACTTACCTCTGCCAAACCATGCAGACCCCCTCCTGCCACACGGTCCAACCGATCCACGCGGTCACGCCCACTCTTAAACTGACCACATCATCATTGCGATCCTAATCTGTTTTGGATGTGATGATGTGGACCTATCAGAACATAGGAAAGCCTATTTTAGGCTTGTTTTATTACTCTATCTTGGTTTCTGTTAGATCCTCGTTTATTGCTCCAAAAGAGTCCCTTTTGATTTCCTGTGCTTGACCTCGGCTTCGTATTCGACTTGTGTTTTCTAGTATCCTGACCCCGGCTTCGAATTTGACTCATGATTTCTAGTATCCTGACCCCGGCTTCATATTTGACTCGTGCTTTCTGGTATCCTGACCTCGGCTTCATATTTGACTCGTGCTTTCTGGTATCCTGACCTCGGCTTCATATTTGACTCGTGCTTTCTAGTATCCTAACCCCGGCTTCATATTTGACTCGTGCTTTCTGGTATCCTGACCTCGGCTTCATATTTGACTCGTGCTTTCTGGTATCCTGACCTCGGCTTCATATTTGACTCGTGCTTTCTGGTATCCTGACCTCGGCTTCATATTTGACTCGTGCTTTCTGGTATCCTGACCTCGGCTTCATATTTGACTCGTGCTTTCTGGTATCCTGACCTCGGCTTCATATTTGACTCGTGCTTTCTGGTATCCTGACCTCGGCTTCATATTTGACTCGTGCGGCTTTGTCGTTGACCTGACCCGGCTTTGTCTTGACTCTGATCATTCCTGTTATTCCTGTCCTTGATTTATTATTGACCCTGTTTCTTGTTGTATATTTACGTTAAGTCCAACCATTCTAGGGCTCGGTAATACGTCTTTCTTCTTTCTTCTTTCCTGTGTGTAAGGGTACGACTCCCATGACAGTTGCCAAATGAGCTTACCATGGCTATCAATTATGAAGGTAAATTTGAATGCTAAGTCAAAGTTTGGGACTGTGTCGAAGTGGAGAGAGAATGCATAACTGCATAACAGTTGGTGATTAAGTGCTGAATGTGTGTGCAAGGTTGTACTATAGTAGAGATACCACAATTACATAAGTAAATGCTGCTATGAGAACACATAGGATAGCAATATAAGGTGTTTGTCAGAGAAGCAAAGAAAAAGTAAAAAAAAAAAAAAGAAATAAAGGGAGTATTGAGGAAGTTGTTAGATGAGCAAAATAACCAGAAGGATCTTCCATTGTGGAAGAATAATAAAGGAGAGAAAAAGTATAAACAAGATGCCCATCAAGTATCAGTAAAGTCTAAAGACTGAGCCTGGTCCACCAGAAAAAAGATGATAGTACCTATTGTCCTAATCTACAAAGTTCAATGATGGGATACAATACAAGTATTAACGCTAGTATGCTTAGATCAGTTTAAGTTCATATAAGTAGTCACCAGTCATGAGATGGGTAGGTGAGTACCTAGTGCGGATTAAGGAGCTTTAGCCCCTCTACACCCGGGACAGGGTAAGGTAAATGCGTGACAGTTAGAACCATTTGTTATAAACATGAACGCCCATTCTAAGCATAAGATTCAGTAGTTCACATAATCAGACTGAGCAGTGTGGTGTTTGCAGGCCATGTGCAAAAACTTGTGCACCTGTCTAAATCCTAATTTCCAGGCTACCTATATTACTTTTCCAGTCTGTGGCTGTGTGTAGGCAAATAGCAACTACAGTATGGCTGCTACCAGTTAACAGATCAGTTCCACTCGTCCTATATGATGAGGAAAAACTTATCTTTGAGGATAAAAAACTAATCCCTACCGCTCATCCCCCTTTATTCATGTATAGTGTGTGGGTATAGGGGTGTAGTGTTAGTATAGGGGATTCATTCAATTAATAATGATTCAAACACAAATATTCATTCCTTCTCCCTTGTTGTTACCTTGCAGTAAGGGCGGCATGCTGAACCCTGGTGTTCCAGTGTGCTGGGAATGTGGTCTGCTCCTTCACTGGGTGCAGACTATGCATAACTGTCAAATCAAATAAATACAAAATGTATATTAATGATAAAACACACAGTAAAAAAAAGTTTAATGTCCTACAATGTTACTTTTAATAAATAAATCACCTATCTTGAAGAAGGATTAATTGCGTTGTGCTGCAATTAGAGACTTCTCACTGAAAAGCCTTGTGGACAAACTGTTCATGTATGTGACTGCAGTTTGTCTTGAAATCGATATTTGTATAATATAAACCTGCAGGAACAGGCATTTTAACCCTAATACACTTGAGCCAGTGAAGTGCTTTATGTGCTCTTCTTTAAGCAAAACAATATGTGGATTTAATTAGCCGTTTATAGCCAGATTGTGTTTAATCCCATCATACTACAAAACACCAACATCCAGTTCTGGAGGGTCCTACAGCTTGCATGTTTATCCTACATGTTAAACTTGTTGTATGGCCCATTGATGTGGTATAATTTATAAGCAGTGGCCAGTTAACTCACAATAAGACCATATGGTGTGAATAAATCAACATATAAAACTGTATTTGTGTGCACTATTGCCTTAATGTTCATCTTGTGTCAATTTAGGCCCTTCACCAGCATCACTACTAAGAAACACATGTTCTGGGTTTGCCCCATTTCATTTATTTTTTTCTCTAGGCGAATGTCCTTAGTGTAACAATATTTTTTCCCCCCATTATATTTAAAAGAAGAAAAACTACCACAACAAGAAGACATAGTCTTAAATTAGAGGGACAAAGGTTTAAAAAAGTATTACTTTACTGAGAGGGTAGTGGATGCATGGAATAGCCTT